GATTTTGAAGTTGGAGGAGAAAATGAGATTTTCACTCGACTCTACCTTTCTGAACTGGAGCACACAGACGAAGAGCTGACCGCGTGCGAGCTTTCCAACGTGATTATATCATGCGTGAAGTCCAGCTAGAGCAAGACCAGCATCTGTGGTTAAAAAGAAAATGTTTTTTAGAAAATGAGCGATGGTTTGGCTAGATAAGACTCTTATTCCTCGGTTGGGATCGTGTAGAGCTCTTTGAAGCTGCGCTGAAACTGCACTGCAGTTGGTCCCCATTGAAGTCTATTATATGGAGAAAAATCCTGGAATGTTTTCCTCAAAAATCTTCATTTCTTTCTTCATGCATTACATAATCACGTTGGAAAGGTCACGCACGGTTTGCTCTTCGTCTGAACTCCGGTTCAAAAAGGTAGGAAAGGGCGAAAAACATCTAATTTTCTCCCCCAACTTCAAAATCGTCTGACATCATTGTTTTTCCTTTTTTTGTAAAGGGCGTTTGACTTTCTTTGCCCGTTTGCTTTGTAAACACTGGACCAATGTCACACATGACCTTTACAACATGATTACGTAATGCATGAAGTCCAGCTAGTGCAAGACGACGAGCATATGTGGTTAAAATTGATATGCATTTTTTTATTTTTTTTTTTATCTCTGATCGTTTCGCTAGAACAAACTCTTATTCCTCAGCTGGGTTCGTGTAGAGCCCTTTGAAGCTGCAGTGAAACTGCAATTTGACTTGGTCCCCATTGAAGTCTATTATATGGAGAAAAATCCTGGAATGTTTTCCTCAAAAATCTTCATTTCTTTGCGACTGAAGACAGAAAGACATGAACATCTTGGATGACATGAGGGCGAGTCAATTATCAGGAATTTTACCCCCTCTACACTGCACGACAAAGCTGAAATTCGCCCCGACTAAAAAAAAATTGGCTCAAAATCTGATGAAAATCGCACTTCTGATTGGCCATTGCTTTCATAAGCTCAACAGAATCATGTGTGATTGTTTATAGTGCACAACGTT